TCCCCATCCCTGGAGGTATTTAAAAGACAGGTAGACGAGGTGCTTAGGGACATGGTTTAGTGGTGGGATGTCAGTGTTAGGTTAACGGTTGGCCTTGATGATCTTAAAGGTCTTTTCCAACCTAAACGATTCTATGATTCTGTGAGAACCCACTAGAGACTAGAATGCCATCTTTGGAGAGCTCATAGCACTTCCATCGAGGCTTATGGCTCACGGAGTCTGCTAACGGATGTCTAAGGGAGACCAGGGTACCGCAGAGCTCATGCTGCAAAGCAAAACCATTACAGGATACTATGAACCACCCCCTGATCCAGGAGGAGGATTATTGTGAGACTGTTGGTGTCTGCTGTGAGGGCAAGATGTCAGCACAGGGTTATAACAGTCCTGGGAAGGTTTTGCAGTGGGATTACAGCAGGAAGACCTCCATGGAGCTGTGGTAACAAGACTGAGCATCCTGACACGAGCATGGGCTCCAGGACTCCCTCCTGCTGCAGTGCCATCATCCTTACTCCTCCATGCATCCTGCATGCATATGGGGGTGTGTTCTCATATGGGAGACACTTGCCTATCCTATGATTCAAGTTTTCAGAATCCTCACTGTGGTCGCCTCATGCACCCTGAGTTTCAAAACCTTGTGAAAACGCAAGGGCTGCACAGTGAAATAAATCCCCTTCTGCAGTACCAAGTCCCGTGGTGAACTATCTGCACCACATGCTGCTTCTGCCAAAGAGCGTCTTCTCTCAGGTCTAGGACTCCTGAAAATGAAATATCTGAAATGTACTGACTATCCGTGGGGATATTCCAGTTCAATATCAAGTTTTTTGCACGTTCTCTACATCATCTTTGACAGACCCACTGAGTTGTTATGCAGCTACCACTTCAAGGATTATCTGTAGTAAGTTTTGATCTTTTCACTGCCATCCCCACATAATATAAACTTCTTGCTTCTAGAATCAGAGAAGTAATTTGTTTTACTATGGTATATTTATCTTTCATGGTTTTCTTCTATTGTTTGCCTTGCAAAGTACTCCCCTTGTGAAAAATATGTTTTTAATCTAACATGCCATTATAAAAAGTGGGTGTAATTTGTGGAGAAAAGGCACTTTTGAGAGCTTGCACGTATTTTGTGAGTTAGCAAAAATGTTTGGAAAAGTTTGAAGGGCCCCAAACCTCAGACTTGTGGGGTTACTCCATCCTTCCTACATATTTGCAGCACCCAATCACAATTAAGGAAATTATTTTTAAAGTATTTATAAAAAGAAACACAATATGTTTAAGTTGACAACATATTGCTAAAACCACACTAGATCAATTGGGAATTTGAGATGTCATAAGCATTTTAGGCTATGCAATCAAATAGTCTCCCAGGATTTTACACACTGCTAGTTAAGAAAACAAATTTTCATCTTACATTTTGCAAGCTGTCACCTTATATACAGTATATCAGAAAACTTGCCATGACTGGTTTTACTGCCAGACCTCTTAAGAGCTAATTGGTTAAGCACCTGGGCAGGAAGCTTTTTGGCAGAAATGCTATTTTCTGCAAGGACTAGCTATAAAGTTCTGGATGGCAAATTGTAATCATTAAGGCTCCCTCCTCTACAACAGAACACATAAAATGTAAATACATTGCTTGGAGAAATTACGATGCATAAAAGGACAGGCTGTGTTTTAAGTTTATCCAATGACTTATGGCTCAAATTTGAACATGGAAGGGATCTTATGCTTTTTTTCAGGGTCAAGCTTTCAGCAGACTTCTCTAATTGCACCCAGAAAAAATGAGAATCACATCTGTTTGCATCCACCAAAACTATTATTTGCATGTACAAATGTTAACTTGTGTGTACAAGGAGGAGTTGCAAATACAATGACTTGCACTGTTTTTTCAAACACAGGGAGTCTTGTACATGAAAAATAATTTCCACAGACTTTTTTGCAGTTGTAGATTAGAAGTTCTGCTGAAAATTTGTCCCCAGGAAATTGTATGTTTCTTCGGTGTTGTGTGAAAAAAAACGTAGCACAGTCTGCTGCCTGGTATGAGTTGAATGCAGTGGTTTGTGAATATGTGTTTGAATTCCAAACAATGTTTTGGTCTGGTTGTGTTGGTGGAATTTTTTATTGCGTATTATTCATGAGCATTGTCATGAATGCAAAAGCTTTTTCGTTTGTGTTGATATTTGATATGTTTGGTTCTTTTTGGATGGAATTTTCAGA